TTAACCCAGCTGTTCCAGAAGTCTGGTTCAGAGCCCGGCTACATGCAGCTCAACCAGCCTGAATGAAAGGGGTGTTCTTTTGTCAGAGGCCAGCAGCTTGTAGCAGGAAGACAGGAACAAAAAGCCTGAGCCAGATCTTTTGAAGTAACAGCAAAATGGGGCAGAACTCGGATGGATCGTACTGGAGTTGCTACATAAACGCACAGTCTGTTACCCCAGCGCTTTATTAGTGAAATTACTAGTGTGACTGTCCTTCTCCCATGCTATGATGGATAACTGCTGCTGGGCAGTCTAACTTAATGTAGCAAACCGCTTAAACTGGTTAGTTCTGCAGTTTGGAAACTACCGTTCCTAAGGTCAGATAACTGAGAATCTGTAGCACTGTGAACAGCACAGGTTTTTCTTTTTTCAAGGAGTGTGAGTTATTAACGTGCACTGAGATGTGGCCAAACCTGTACAGCCAGGCAGCGTACAAAGCGTGTTATAGACCAGTGTCTATACCCTGCTGTAAAGATGTCTGACCACCTCCTGTTCAGACTCACTTGGTTGTGTGTAAGTTAACGGCCTTTCCCCAAATAACCTGTACAAAGCACCCTGCAGCACTCGGCTTCTGAATCTTTTAAGATGACGCTTTTGATCTAATTGGTCTATCACAGAAATATCAAATCCTACAAGCACAAGACAAACAACACTGGGAATGGAAGCACAGAGACATTTCCCACCAACACACATCAGTGGCATCAAATGGGTGCGAGGACAAGTCCTGCGAAATAATCTTGTGCTCCTTTCTCACTTAAAGAAATGAAACAGCAGTGATGGTTCCCCTTTTGGTTTTTCTGAGGCAGCTGCTGTGTGATTGCAGCCCATTCTGGAAGAGGACAGTGTTCAAAGTTGTCTACTAGGAATATCTGAAATGCAATTGAATCACTTTATCAATGGCTTAATTTTAAATGTAAATGTTTTTATAGCCACCAGTCCAGATTATATCTTCATCATAAATATCCCTAGAAGCTAGCCACGGGAATACTGGGAAGGAGTTCGCCTCCAGTTCACCTCCTTTCTTCTTGCATCTCATTCAGCGAAATGTTTTTTGCCAGGTGCCAGTACCCGTCCATTTCCAGTCGTCCTGTAGAATACTGATACACAGACCAAGGCACTGAGATGCTTTCTCTTCCTCTGAGGAGAAGCAGAATGGTCACTCTTAGCTTTTTCTGGGAGCAGGATAGATTATTAGCAGACACTCGTGTTACCGGACACTTTGCCATTCACACTACCTTTTGTATCGGCTGCAACCGGTCTCTGCGTACAGTGGGATTTCCCTTATTTCTAACACAGGGATCTTGATCTGTATCAGTTCGTTGATCTTTTCAACAGCACTAGAAAAGTTTTGCCATATTACTCTAACAAACTCTTGCCTAAGGAAACATGAGCTGTGATATACTCTGAAGTTCTCTCCTCCCCCCCTCCAGTCTTACTGCTACAGGTATCGCTGTGTGGCCCGTAGTCAAAACACTCCTGACAGCTCTGCTTCAAATCTGGGATTCCGCTGCGCAGCAGACACCTTGCCGGAGCTACCGTGACCAAATGGGCTGTCGCACCGAGACGGGAAGGGCTGAATTTCACCCAAGGAAGAAGAGATGTGCGGAGCGTCACTTGCTGATGACACAGAATAGAAAAATCTAGTGCTTGAACTTCCTGCGGGGGGCGTGGGGTGGAAATCCAACGCTACTCAACATTGCGTGAAGAACCTTCCTGTATTTGTCCTTGGGGAAGCTGGCCTGGACTCTTATCCTGACCAAACACTTTATCGGTGAATTCTGTTGGTGTTAGCAAGAGTATTTTGGAGTTAACTAGCACAAAACCGAGCAGAAACATGCCGATTGTGTTTTAAAAGGTTAATTAATAGCTCCTTTAGACAAGATCTTTATTAAATAGTTTTATTTATGTATAGTTTGAATTTCTGCACTCAAATCCAATCAACAAGGACTTTATAAACTTCTAGACAGCTTTAAAAGAAAATTGAAGGAGTTAATTAGAGGTGAGGACTGGAAGACAGACAGCTATCGCCATGGGCAATTAGTGCAGCCCCGCAGCTTGTATTACATTCCTGTTGCAGTGAAAATCAGGTCCAGAAATGTGTTTTCTGGTGAGATACTTGCTCTTCTTTAGAAAGTGCCTTCTGCAACTGTGGGATGATAATCCTCAGGGTGATGATGATTAGAAATGTGCATATTTGAATAAAATTTCAAGCATTTATTTATGCTGAAGACTTTTATTGATGGAAAAACACTGGCAATTTTCCTTGAATTTCTCTTGGATGTGGTGTAGGCTTATTTTGGGGACTTGCAAATTGCAAAAATGTCATCATTAGAAACTGAAGCTAACATGATTTCACTGGAATAAACGATCATTACAGTTGAAAAGATGGCAGATGTAACTGCGAGCCCTAAGGCCTAATAAGGCAAATTTTGAAACTGTTGTCTCTGTTTTTAAAAAAAAAAAAAATATCCAACTTAAAAGGAGAGGCATTTCAGCAAGGAGGAAGGGAAACGGGAATAATGAGAGCTACCTCATTGTGGGATCTGAATGTATTTCAGACCTTCCACAAAGTGTTTTGCACCATCACTCACTCTAGGACACAGTATCTGGTCATATTTCTGTGCCAGGCGATTGCTTGCTCTAAGTGAGACGGAACGAGAGATCGCCTGTGCAGTAAGCTGGGCGCCAGCAGGGCTGTCCTTCGAACGCGTCGCAGCCAGCTGTGTTGCTGCCCTCTAACAGGCCTCTGAACTGCCTGTGTGGAAAGCCGGGATTGAACTTGGCCATCTTGTCAGCTGCTTTGAGACCCCACAGTGAAAAACGTGGTGGATTAACAAAAACTCTTGCATTGATGCCAGTCTTTCCCGGCATTGTCTTTTCTGTAGTAAGTTGGGTTTGCGTTTAATACAACCTGGGGTTAATACAAATCTGTCACTTGCCAGCTCCTTCTCCACTCAGTGCACTCCACTTCAGAAAGGAAGATACCGGAGAACTTTATAAAAGCTTTTGCCTAGAGCTGGTTTTGTTTTTTATTCTGGGAAAAAATCCTTGATAAAAATACACACACAAGTCCATATATTGGAAAATCGTTGAGACTTTATTTAAATAAACAGCTTCGTGATGCCACACCATCAGGTATATGTCAGTCAATACTCGTTGTGCTGTGGGTGGCATGTGGAGGAAAGTCTTCCTGGTCTTCTGCGGAGATGGTGGAATGTGTCCCATTCATGCTGCTTTTGTTTGGATAACGGTTACTGTATTTTCTTGCAAGATCTTCCATTAAACATCCATGAATTAATCTGATCAGATTTCAATGGGAGCTTGAGTGAGTATTGAAATATTGACAATCATTACTGCACTTTGAGAGTAGAAAGGAGGAGGGAGGATTACACAGAGCTTACGGTCTTTTGAGCTGTTTGATTGGACTCATTGCAAAAGAGCACGCTGAACTGTGAAGTGGTAGACGGGGACTCTGAAGCTGAAAGGAACCCAAAGGAAAAAGTGAACAGAAATGCAGCAGGTAGAAACAAGGGTCTATTGTCTTTTTTTAGTCCCTTGTAAGAGGATTTTTTGCTTTTCAGTAAGATTTTGCTCTCGGCTGTAGTGCGAAGGCATAGCAGAGTATAAAGCACACGCTATATGGAAAAAGGCCATTAACAATTGCCACGATGGTTTAGAACTCAAGGCCAACGTAGTATTTCATGTTCTTGCAAGGCCTTTCCTGCGGCTGGCTGTTTTCAACAGTACAACGCTCTCTTCTTGTTCTGTGCTGTGGAAGTCTGTTCTATCCAGGTAACTGATACTCAGGTCACTTGCTAGAAGCAGCATCAGCTGGCTGGGACTGGAAGGGTAGGATTGCACCGAGACTGAAGGCTCGGCTGTGTTCTCTGGGTTAAGGCAGGTGATGCAAGGACTAGATATTGCTAACGGTGTCTGGGGGTTTGTGTTCTGGCGTGACTTTTTTTTTCAATCTACGCTTCCTTAACTACTCAAAACCATGCCAAGTACATATTCACATAACAGGAAGCTAGCAAACAGCGCCGTCATCTTGAAAACCCATCTAATCTTGAGGAATAGGAATACAGATGGTATAAAACTAGTCCTGAAACTTTTTCCAGGAGGGAAAGATGAAGTAGATTGGATCATCCAGTCCCAGTCCTGCAGGCTGAAAGTGGCTGGCGCAATGCCCTTTGGGGGAAGAAAACCAGATAAGCCTCTAACTAGGACAAGAGACCCTGCGACCTAAGCTGTACTCTGGTATCTAGTGCAGCGTGCGTTCTGAGTTACGGGACCTGGAGAACTTCTGTAGAAGCAGGCACCCTTAATCGGGCAAGGAATAAAGTTAATGGCCACTTAGCTTGTAAATTGCTTTTGACAAGCAGCTGAAGCCCTTTGGAAGCTTTCTGTATTGACAGAAGTGACGCTTAATGATTAACCCTAAGAAAAATCACGTACTAATTTTCATAAACTAAAACCACAGCCGTATGTAAATCTCAACAGCAGGTCTTCACAATGGAAGCAGGAAGGTATACATTAAATGGGGAGAAGCCAACCCTGAGGCTTATCTAGGAAGTATAAGTAAACACAAAGTAAGATTTTGTTTAGCAAATAGCAAAAGTAAGAGCAGCAAAATGTCCTTTATCCCTTTATCCCTGATGGCGGTATCAGATTAATCTTTCAGGTCCAAATCAAAGTTGTCTTTTTTATTAAAAAAAAAAGTTGCCGATGGCCTGCAGAACAGCAGATCCCCCCGAGAGGCACTACCCCGTGTGTGCATGTTTTGTCAAAGGTTATGAATATAGTTAAAGATCAAACCGTACAGAGCAAATAACCCAGGGGTTTGTGCCACCGATGGAGCACTGTGGCATGACTGTGAAAAGCAGCACTGTAGTTTATCTGTCTTGTATATCAAAGATCGGGGAAATTCAAAACAAGCCTGTTTGAAGCTTCCTTAATTTGATCGTTCTAGAAAGGAAGTGAAGTAACGTGCAGTTGCAGAACGTACCCCATCTGGTAAGCTCTCTCGTGTATCCCTGGTGTAAGGAGACGCTCAGCAAAGCCGTGTGCGCTTGTTAGATCTGTACAAGAATGACGAAAAGAGGCAATGACCTTCTCCCTCTGCTGGGAGAGGACAGGCTTTGCTTAATACTGTTTGGCTCTGTAGGAATAGCGAAAACAAACCAGTTAGCAGCTGAAAGGAATGCTCACGTGGCTGCCCGCTGTTCAACAACATAAAACCACAACTCTGTCATTGTTCAGATGTATCATAGAATCATAGAATCATAGAATCATTAAGGTTGGAAGAGACCTCCAAGATCATCGAGTCCAACCATCAACCCAACAACACCGTGCCCACTAAACCATGTCCCTAAGCGCCTCATCTACCCGTCTTTTAAATACTTCCAGGGATGGTGACTCAACCACTTCCCCGGGCAGCCTGTT